CCGGGACCTCACAGCCTGTGGAGGGAGGGGGCTCACTGGCCCCAGCCCCTTGGGCTTGGCTGGGCAGGGCTTGTCTGGGCTGATGTCACCTTCAGGGCCCTATGCGATGGGGAAAGGGAACACCTAGAGACAGGGGATGGAACTGTGGTGCCTCCATCTCCGGTGGCCCTTGCGGCTATGAAGCAGGGAGGACCCACCCCTCCTTCCTGAAGGACAGAGGCACAGCATGGAGCCTGCTGGGACTCAGGGATCAGCAGTTCTCCCAGGCCAGCAGGAGGCATGGCATTATCCCGCTCCATCAGGTTGTGAGGCTGCCACCAGCTTGGGAAGGTGGCGTGTGAATCACAGGTATTGGCAGTTGACCAGTCCACAGATGCTCATGAATTTACTAGCACTCTACCTAGAACTTCTTCCTCCCCAAACACTTTCTGCTCTGATCAGATGTGTGGGTTGTTGAGGCTATTGATGATCAGGTTAATGTCCAGGGCCTTTCACGGGGCACTGTGTGTTTCCTTAAGCTTGGAGGCTAGGGGTCATCAGCAGACACCATCTGTGACTTGCTTTGCTCTCTTAGGTACTGCCAGGTGCTCAGCCAGCTGGCTCTGAGAACGTGCTTGCTGAGTGTCTCTCCTCAACCAGCAACATCCCATTCATTCAGTCCCCAAATCTCTACCAAGGGCCTGCTGTGAGCCTGACACCATGCTAGGCAGGGGGCATGAAATAGTGAAAAGACACAGGCTCATCCCCGGCTCTCATGAGCTTATGAGCCAGCGGGGGAGAAATCACCCAGTACTTCTAAAATTCTAACTGTTATCAGTGCTAGGAGTACGAATACCTGATGCTGTGAGATTTATCACCAGGGAGACCTGATTTCATTTGAGGATTTTGTCTGTGGAAGGGATGTTTGAGCAGAGATCTGAAGGAGAAACATTAGCTAGACAAAGTGTTTAGGGAGGAAGAAGTTCTAGGTAGAGAAAAGTACCTGTGCAAAGATCCTGAGGTGAGAGCGAGCAAGGACTGGAGGGTCTGAAAGAAGCCAGGAGGAAAAGAACCAGGGGGAACATGGTGGGAGGTGAGGCTGCAGAGGCAGGCAGGGCTAGATCTGCATTTTCCAATGCAGTAGCCACTAGCCTCATGGGGTTATTTAAATTTAAACTTGAATTAATTAAAATCAATTGTTTAAATTAATTTAAATTATTTAGCTTAAAATGAATGAAATCCAAGTGTAAATTCACTTCCTTAGTTACCTGGGGCTCAGGTGGCATGTTGGGGCTCAGGATCTTTTCCCCTGAGAGGACCTCTGTCTTAAGAGAAGGCTGGTCAGTCATAAGTTGCCAGAATTGGGACCATGGTCACAGGGCTGCTCTTAGAACCTGGTAGGAAGTTGCCCACATTTCACTCTGGGATACAAGGCTAGCATTTGACTGGCAGCCCAGGTGGCCAGATGCTAAGGGCACAAATGTGGAGCTATAGCTAGTTCAGTCGTTCTTGCATTCACTTCTGGTTGTGGAGACCGTAGAGCAAATGGTGCCAGTTGACCTCATGCAAGCATGGAGGAGAGTAGGAAGCTGGAGCCAGCTGGGTCCTGACAGATTCCTGATAAGTGGAAAGCTGCTTCTGGGAATGACGTAGTGTCCTGGAAGGGATGTCTTGCCTGGTCCATTTTTAAAAGATGGAAAGGTCCTCAGTGAGGCAGAAGGGGCCGACAAATCACCCATAAGACCAATGGATGTGTTGGACAAGTCAGAGATTTGGTTTGTTCAAGGACATGATTACTGTAACTATGAGGACAAAGACCCTGCACCTTCTCTGAGCCTCAGTTTCCCTCTGTAAATAACATTGGTTGGAATAGATGTTGCTGAAGATCTCTTGTCCGGCTCTGACAACATGTGATTTTATGAATCACCCTCAAAGAAAACTTGCACAAGTGGGAAGAGTCTGCCAAGATTGGGCCTTTCATTCTGAGTAATGAACTGAAACAGCAACGGCTTGACATCTGTTCAGCTTTTTCAAGAGAAGATGGACAAAATAAAGCTTTTTTCAGAGAAATCGTAACCAACAGTGAAATATAGTATTTCCTACCTAAACCAAAATCAAAATGGAGAACTCCAGGCTTCCTGAAGCCCAAGGGAGAACGCACATCAAAACCTCCTGTAAGGAAGTTCAGGTCGACCAGCTGTCTTACTGCTATAGGCACAGAATGCCTAGACACCCCTGTCTGTCAACACCATTAGAGACAGAAAGCAGAAAGGCTGGTGGGGAGATTCTGAAGGTTCTGAGACTGTCCGGTGGAAGAAAGAGGGCCTGTGGTCCTGTGGTTAGATTCCTTGCCAGTCCTAGAACACTCCTGGTAGGAAAAGCATTGGCTGCAAACACCTTGAACACCCAGTTACTAACGCTCTCACCCAACCTGCCATCAAAAGTCAAAGGAAGATTTGCCACCATTGACTTTGAGGTTCTTCCCAAGTATCCACTCCAGGCCCCAGAAGCCATTCCCAGAGACCAGTTTCAAATGCATTCTGAACAGTGATGATGACTTCGGAGTTAGCAGAGAGCCTCCCAAAACAATGTGCTTTGAAGGGACAGGGCTAGGGAAAGCCAAGTTCTAGAATCAAAAGCCCCCTGCACCCATCATGCCAACATTATGAAGGATCCTAGAACTTCAGGACTGAAAGGGACCTTCCAGAATGTCCCACCCCAGCTCCCACTCCACTTGGAGTCCTGTCCACAGCCTCCAACAGGGATTCTCTTGAAGGGAAGCTCATGAGAGCAGAGCTAGGTCTCTTGCTCACCCTTTATTTCCCAGACAGGTGCACAGTAGGTCTTGAGCAAATGCACATTAGTCACTCTGCACCTTCCCTGACAGTTCTCTCTGCTTTTGCTGCTTTCCTTTGTACACACCCTGAACCGAGAGGGCTCCAGGGAGCTGGGTGGCAGCAGCTGCCCCTTCCCTCTTCCTGTGCCTCCAAAGCTAGGCAAGTTCCAACTCACATGGTCAGAAATTTACCCAAGGAAGGTCCCAGTATGAAGCATCCTTTGTAACAGGCTCCTCCTCCCTAACTTCCCCAGGTTCTAAGATTCACCAAATCCTTTGGCTTCTAGTGTCATTAACAATCATCAGCCACAAGGGCTGATGTTAGAAGGAGAAACATTGGGGTGAGCAACATCAGAGTTGTGCATTTGCCAGTGCCCCCCCAGCCTGGGGCACCTGAAGAGTCATTTAGGAGCAGGGGTTCTCCCCTCCTTGATGTCTGATTTCAGCTTGGTTGCTGGTTCCTATTCTAGGATTGGTGAAGTCAGAGATGTAACAGCTACCACTTAGTAAACAATTTGATTAATGTCCATCTACCCCATTAGACTGTAAGCCCCATGAGGGCAGAAACCATGTTCGTTTGGCTCAGCTGCATATCCCTGGTGCCTAGTGGAGCTCACAAAACAACTCATTAACTGATTGATTAAGCTGGACCAAGTCAGTGGGTGACTGCCTAGAGACTATTGTTTGGAAGGGGGTTCTCAGAGGCAGCCCATGCCCTTAGCAAAAGGGTCTTTGAGACTCAGCCTCCCTTTCCATCCTGCCCCACCTGAGGAAGGGAAGTGATCACTCGGTTCACATTCTGATATATAAATATCTACAGCAATTTTTCATGCATTGTAAATGAAATACTATGTTTTTATCATCAGTTTACAATAGTGTGTTATATTTTGGTTGTGTATTGAAATATAATCATGTTGCGTTGTCTAAATAAATAAATAAATATCCACAGCAGCCCAGGAGGCAGCCTCCCTGTGGGGAACATTATTCATTAATAAATATTGCAGAGGTTGAGATGGGGGTTGGGAGTGGAGAAGCGCAGCAGTGAATCAGCCATAGTCCCAGCTGCACTTAGGAACTCAGGTAAATAGGCAGATATGACAAAAAGTCACATAGCCACACATACTGCCAATCCAGCTGAGCAGGCTAGGACCTTACCATGGGACAAAGGGAGCTTCATGGGAGTTTTGAATTGGAGGCTATCAGGGAGGGCTTCTTGGAAGAGGAAACGTGTGCAAAGCAATATGGGAGGCAGTAAGAGTCAGACAACCGGGAGAGGGCATTCTCAACAGGGCACAGTGTGTGCAAAACGTGACGGTCAAGAAGGGAATGTGGTTAACGGGAAGCAGTTAAATAGGGCCTCACGTAGGAGGAGAGCAATGGGGTGAGGCTGCCAAGATGGGAATGTGAGATTGTAGATTTTTAATCAGAAAAAGCTCAGACCAAAGAGATAGAACTTTAATTATTCCCCTCATTAAAACTCTGATGGGCTAAGATTTATCAACATATGAACATCCCTAACCTTCCCCACCCCCTTCCCTTCCTCCTCTGCTCTGCTCTCTTCCCTCCCCTCTCCTATTAAAGAAGGTCTCTTAATTTGCCTGTTTAGTTTCTTCCCCACCCTCTCCCCACAAAGAGAGTATTATTTTTTTCCCAACTGGTCTAGGGAGCCTTTAGGGTATACAGAATAACCCAAATGGAGTGAGGCAGCCAAGAAGTGCATAGGAGAGGAAAATATATAAAAATAAGAGTTGTTGTGAATTCTGTGTCCTCTTCATGATGTTTGAAAGTCACAAAGGAAGGACATGAGCTATTTTTAAATGTTTGTAGATTACTGAACTATATTCATTTGACAAAGCCCCATTCTGAGAATGGACCACATGGGTTACAGCTATAATAGGGTTCCATTCTCTGCCTGTTGATACCACTGTCCTCTTCTTCAAGGCCATGGACTCTTGGACAACAGGGCTATGGTCTAATTCATCATGGTCTTCCAGCATCCCGGTCATGACCTAGCCCAGAAGCAGGGTTAGTAAACATTGAAACTGAACAGTGGTTAAGTGACCCGCGGCCCAGGCAACAGACTCCACTTCACTCCCTAATCTCTCCTCCTTCAAGAAGTGATATTCTGTTCCCTGCTAGTCTTAGGCTTTGCTCAGAGTCTGTCTGTCTGTCTTTCTCATTGCAGAAGGCAGATCTGGCCGTGGCCCCCCTGACCATCACCCACGTCCGTGAGAAAGCCATCGACTTCTCCAAGCCCTTCATGACTCTCGGTGTGAGCATCCTCTATCGCAAGCCCAACGGCACCAACCCCAGTGTCTTCTCCTTCCTCAACCCCCTGTCCCCAGACATCTGGATGTACGTGCTCCTCGCCTACCTGGGTGTCAGCTGTGTCCTCTTTGTCATTGCCAGGTAAGGGCAATGCCTTGGCCTGAGCTCTGGCCCAGGGTTGGGGGCTTAGGGAGCCAGACAAGGCCCCACATCCTCAGTGCTTGGCACAGAAGGCCCAGGTTCAGGCTACTGCTGTATCTGCTTCTCTCTCTTCCTCCCTGTGGCTCACATCCTTTCATATCCCTCAAGAAACGTTCTATGGCCCCCAAGCTGGAATCCCTGAGTCCTCACCCTGGGCTATATCCATGACTCTGAGACGCAGCAGTTATATCCCTGGTCCTATGAGCAGGCTTGGAGAGGTTAAGTCACTGCCCAAAGCTGCATCATCTGCGCTAGGCACCCAGGACAGCAAACCTAGGTGCATTGGGTGGTCCGGCAGGTAGCTTGAAACTTGAAAACAGACTGTGTTCGTCCAGTCCACAACAGCAGGAGGAACAGTGCCACATAAACTTGCACACATGCAGAAACGTGGCATGCACACATGCCTACCTGCCTGTAACACGCCACCAGTATCCTTGAATGTTCAGTTATTCACATGAAGTAGACATAGTGCATCCACACTGGGGGATGGTAGGAGGAGGTCACTAGGGAACAGGTTTAGTTCAGCATTTACTGAGCACCTACTGTGTGCCAAGCACCATACCCTATACTTCACAGCCATTATCTTACTTAATTCTCGTGGCCTCCCATGGAAGAGAGACATCTGAGACTCAGAAACGCTCAGTACTCACCAAGACCATCCCGGCAGTAAGGGACACACCCGGCATGTGACCTTGGGTCGCCAAGTGTTTTACCTGCAACCCGCATCTGTGGCCTTCTGGACATCTGTGTTCTGCCTCCACCCCAAGTTGGTGGTTCCTGGGCCCTGGGCTCTCTGCCTGCTTCCTCCAGCTCCAGCCCCAGCCCCTGCCCTCATTCTTTTTTCTCTAAATTCTAACAAGGTGTGAAGAGAGACTTCTCTGGAGAAGCAATTTGAGATCCAAGGACTTGGTGTTTCAGCCTTTTTTTCTCCTGAGCCTTTGAAAGCCTTCCCCCGACCCCACTCCCTTTCGCTCCCTCCTCCTGCACAGACAGACCAAAGGGAAGGATGTGAGAGAGGAAACTGTCCTGCCTCCAAAGCCCTTCGCTGCTGGCTGGCCTGGTGCTACCTGCCTGCCCGCCCAGCCCAGCCGGCAGCCCAGCCCCTCACAGAGCGGCCCTCATTACGCCTCTTGTCTCTAATGGTCTAACAAGCCTTTGAAAGCCAGGAGCCATTCTCCGGAGCTCTCACCATAATTTTAGCAGCTCCAGCCAGCCTCTCGGCTCCCCATCCCCTCAAAAACAGCTGGAGCTTTTCCAGCATCAGCTCTGCTCCTGTGATGTGCATCCCATCCCCCTCCAACTCCTGGCCTTTCATCAGCTGCTGGCAGCCAAGCCGGCTTTCCACCCTACCTCCCGGCCAGGCTGGTAGGAGCCCCCCTCCCAAGATTAGGCCAGGGAGACTTTCTGGAAGAGATGAGATTTCTGAAGCTGCTGAAGTACTCAGGACACCTGAAGAGAGAGGAGAGGGACAGGAGTCTTGGCCACAGAGCCACGAACAGCATCATAGGGCAGTTGTCACGTGGGGTAGCATTCACACAACCCAATTCACACCCATCCTGTCCAGTCTGTACAGCAGTTGTGAGAGGTCGGTATCATTATCCCCACTCTACAGAAGCAGAAACTGAGGCTCAGAGGGGTTACGTCTTTGCCCAAAGTCAGAAAGCCTTGTCTTGCAGAGGTGGGCTTCAAACCAAGAGTTGCCAGACTTTAAATCAGGGGTGGCCAGCACAGGAAGGCTGAGGGAGTGAAGCGGGCCAAGCAGTAGGCAGCAGGGAGTGGTGGAGACTGAAGCAAACTGGAGGGCACACCTGGAGGAAGGCACCACCACTACTCAGCTCCCACAGGCTGCGCTAAGCAGGAATGCGGGGCCGGTGCTGCGGAGTTCATGATTCTAGAGACAGGTTCAGATTTTTCTGGACCCCTCATGGCTTTTATCTGTAACCACAAATTCAATTTTTTACAACACTGTTAAGGTCAAGCACAGCATATCTGTAATGGAGATGTGGCCCTCTGTCTCCTCCCCTCCATGTGACCTGAGTCCTTTGGACCGCTCCATGCCTGCTGCTGGAGCGCTGGACACAGCTGCCTAAGAGATGGGGTCTGCAGGGTGGGCAGGTGTCCAGGCCCACTCCAGGCAGCCCCAGCCCAGCACAGGGCTGTCCATCCTGCAAACTGGCCTGTCCTGTGCCTGTCTAGCACCAGGGGTTCAGGCATTGACCGAAGCCCTTCTCTGCCACCAGGATATTCTGCTTCGTGCTCAGTAAGGTAGAAGGAAAAGGGAGGGAGGATGCTTTCTTACCACGGACAGTGGGACAGTTGGCACGTATGACGTGAGGAGATGATCCTGAGTGCCTGACCCCAGAGCCAGGCCTGAGGGTGAGCTGCCAGGCCAGCTCCCAGGAGCCACATTCTGGCCAAATTCAGTACAGAGGAAAATCCCAGGAAGAGTTGGTCGTGGCCACAGTCAGTGCTCTGTTTACACCTCTGTCCCCGGGGCTGGAGTCTAGCCTTCTCCCCTGAGTGGAGACAGTATCTCCAGGTGAGCCACTGTTAGCTCCCACTTACTTACAAGACTGGGAGGACCCCTTGCAGCCACAAGCCATAAATCCCAGATTCACCATTCACTTTGGTGGCACCTTCCTTACCATTCAACGCCCATCCCACTCCACTTCCCTCCTGTGGTGCTGGAGTTAGCTGCCTCCCATCCGTAAAGTGGGTGCCCACTGCGCTGTCGGCCTCTCAAGGGGCCATGAGGACCAGGTCTGTAATGGTACTTGATAACCAAGAGGCCTATTCTAGACCAGTTATTTTTATCATGGTAAGCGCTTCCACCTCTGGGAATTTATCCTGTCAAAAGTGACCACTGAGCCCCACTTTATAGCCCCCTCCCAAATCTAGAAAGCCTTCTCAGCAAGGCCCTGGACAAGGCTGCCCTTTGGCATGGGTACCCACGGAAGTGTGTCCAAGGTGCTTCAGCAGAGTGGACCGCAGTGGAGAACAGGACCAGCCTCGGTAACATCAAAAGAGAAGTGGTTCAAAACACCTATTAAATAGTTACAGAGAATAAAGGGGATCAAGAAGAACTGATGTAGAAAGAAGCTGATGACTTATTAAGTGAAAAAGTTCTAGGGGGGAGGGTATAACTCCGTGGGAGAGTGTATGCTTAGCATGCACGAGGTCCTGGGTTCAATCCCCAGTACCGCCATATAAATAAATACCTAATTACCCCTCTCCCCCAAAATCATAAATTTAGAAAAAATTTAAAATGGTTAGGATGATAATCAAGAAAAAAAAATTTTTTTTAAGTTCTAGGACAGTATTATGGTCTGATAAGATCTTTTTGTGTTAAACGATTATCACATATATCATGTATTGGGGATGTGTGTGAGCGTACATTAAAAAAGCAGGGCTCATAAGATCTCATCTGAAATCATCTTTACTTTGTCTCTCATCCACCTTCCGGTGTGTTCAGAGGTGAATCTTTGCCCCAGTGAAAGCTCTCTCGGGACCTGTCACTTTTTGGCTCATTTCCAGAGCACGGAAACCCTAGGTCTCTCTCTCAAGCATAAGCACACTGTTTCAGTTCAGAAGTTAGAAGGCTGAGTCCAGTATAGTCCTCAACATTTCTACCCTCATTCACAGAGCAGACTCCTCCCCTAGGCCCTTCGTCAGCACCTCCTTGTCAGCCCACCTCCCCCGCTAGCCCTGGTCCTCCAGCAGCCCCTGCCCTGTGGCCTCTCCCTGTTGTCCCATTGCCCATTGTCCCTTCTCGGATAAGAGTCAAGGTGGATCTGGGCCGAATCTCTCTCTATATGGGCCCATCTGGTCCAGGGAAACGCCCTTAGCCCTCGCCGTGTCTGGGCCCGCGGGCCAGTGCCATGCAGCAGGGACCCACTCTCCTGCCTCCACCTGGGAAACACACATCAGCCTCACCCCAGCCCTCCAAAATCCCAGGCAGCGGTCCACCCCATCACTCATAACAGAGCTGCCCCCCGAGCTCCCCCTGCCACCCTGTGGAAGCCTCTCCCAGGACTTCGCAGGTAGGGGGACCAAGGGGGCCACTGAATGCACAGCTCTCCAAAGGCTTCTTCTAAAACCCTTCTCACAAGAGCCTCTCAAGTCTACTCTCTTCATCCTCTGTCTCTTCCTTGTGGATTTTTTGAGCTTTTAACCAGTTCGTGGTCATTCCCTTTGAAAATCCCCATTTTGGCTTGAAGTCTCACTTTGGAATTTCCCATCCATAGGATCTTCCCACTTTGTGAAAACAAAATTCTCCTCACGTGAGCACTGGTTGTCAATGTACCATTTACTAAAGCCTTTAGAAGGAGGATGGAAAGTCACAACATCCCACTTAAAGAGCGTCACTTTTTTTTTCCAGTATTTACTTATTTATTTTTAAATTTGATTAATTATATCTTTTTTAAATTCTTATTTTTTATTGAAGTGTAGTCAGTTTATAATGTTAGTTTCAGGTGTACAGGAAAGCAGTTCAGTTATACATATACGTACATATCTATATATTTTTTCAGATTCTTCTCTATTACAGAAAGAGTGTCACAGTTTACAAAACAAAATTCCATCGGATATGTCTCTCCTTCTGGGTCTCCCATCTCAACAAAGGACCTCACACCAGCCACTCACACCAGCCATACCAGCCTGGTGGGGACTTTCTCTGGGGTCTTGCTATCTCTCCAGGGTCCCTTAGCTTCCTCCAGCTTACATCTCCTCAACTGGAATTTACACAGTAAACAAAGATCCCTCCAGCTATCAGGACTTCTCTTCCTTAGGGGGGCTTGAAAAAACACCTTTTTTTCTGTCATACATGTATTTGTATATTCAGAGAAAAATCTGAAAAAAAAAAATGTATGGCACATTGTTCTTCCCAGAGAGTGGGATCAGGGAATACTTCCACTCTCTCACTGTATTCTATACTGTTTGAATATTTTATGAAGAGTGTATTTTTCTTTTTTTCCATATCAAGGTTTTTTTAAGTGTGCAAGTAATTCAAAAGCCTGTTCTCATTTTTTACAATTCATGTAGTATATACAAAGCAACAAGCTTCCATGAAATTTTGTCTGCCATTCTAACACCCCTCCCCAGAGGTAAACACTGATTTTTTTTAGATACGGATCCTTCCAGACTCTTTATAATGCATTTATATACAAATGTACGTAAGTAGGTGTATAATTATGTCTTCGGGAATCTATTTATATAACCTGACCAAATTGTTGTTATTTTATCACTTTCTTTTTTAAACCAAGCAATATGTGTCGAAGATCTTTCCCTCTTGGTACATCAAGAAGTAGTTCTAACAGCTTCATGGTGTTTCAGAGTACGATCGTGGCATCGCTTATTTAATCATTCCTCTACTGAAGGACATTTAGGTTGTTCCCAGTTTTTCGCTATTACAAACAATGCTTTGATAAACACCCTTGCGCACTTCTCTTTATGCTCCTGTAGGAGTGTTTTTTCCCTTGGATGGATAATGAGTTGCAGAATTGCTAGGTTGAAGGGCATGTGCACTTTTAATTTTAAGAGATACTGCTGAGTTACTTTTATCACCAGAAAAGGGCACTACCATAAAGAACAATAAGCAAAATGGCCCTGGTTTCCCATCCCCTGCCTCCCCAGCAGAACAATGAGGAAATTGATGCTGAAGTGGTTGGTACATCAGTGTTTGCTAAACCGCCAGCTTACGTGGCGTGGACACCCCATCCCTCCTGTCTCCCTCTGACCTAGCCTCACTGCCCTCCCTTCCTGCTGCAGGTTCAGCCCTTACGAGTGGTACGATGCTCACCCCTGCAACCCCGGCTCCGAGGTGGTAGAAAATAACTTCACTCTGCTGAACAGCTTCTGGTTTGGAATGGGGTCCTTGATGCAGCAAGGTATGTGGGCCCTCCCCAGACAGCCTCCTCTCCCAAGTCAGCAGAGCCAGCCCACCCTCCAGGGCAGCCTCAGACCTTCTGAGTCCTCAGAAGGTTGTAGACACCCTGATGCTCAGGTGTGTGTCCTTTCTCAGGTCCCTGCACTCCACTCCTACTGCAGCTGGACCAGCGCAGGATCTGAGGCTGAAGTATATAAGCCCCCCACCCACCCATCCATGGCATTCAGGGCTCATCCCCAGCCCCTCCTGCTCCAGCTGCAGTGGATCTACAACATCCCACTGGTGGGGGCCCACCCCACCAATGGCCTCACCGCACAGAATCTGCTGAGCAAAGTTGGGCTGAGGATGGCGAGAGTCTGGAGGCAAGGAGGCTGGGTGGGAGGCCATGGCAAGAATGAGATAATGAGATCTGAGCCGGGGTAGTGGCCATGAGGGTGGAGGACAGAGATGGACTAAGAGAACTTCAGGATGGAGCAGGGACGGACTCTGTGACCGCCTGGCTAGGGGAAGCCTGGGAGTAGTCAGGGTCACGTCTGAGGTGGGGACGTTAGCCTGAGTGCATCAGAGCTGGTGTACACAGAAGGATACCATTTTCTTCCATCTTCTCGAGGGAGGGTGCGCGGCTGCCCCTGCCCCCTGGCTAGTGGCCCATCTTTTGGAGAGATCTACGGCTGCTCAAATATCTCAGAAAGCACAGCACCGGCAAGGAGAGTGGTGCCGAGACACCAAGGGCTGGGGACGAGCACAGGGGGACAGGACCCCAGCCAGGAAAGACCCCCAGGAGAACGCCTCTCCCAGCCCTGCTGGCCAGGAGCCAAGCGTTCATTGCCTCTGCCGCCGAGTCACGTGTCAGAGCCTCTTATCACGGGGAATGGGGGATCCAAAGTCTCTGCCTGTGTTAGGGTCCCGCTGAGGGACAGTGGGCAACCAGGGGGCCAGGGAGGGAAGGGGATCCAAGGGCAAAGAATTTCCCTGCCCTCACTCACCGGGTGTATCCTTAAGGCCCAGCACCAACCCGGGGCCTCCTCGGTAGGTATCTACCAGCAAATGCTGAAGGAATGAATGATATTTTCTCAGTGTGTCCTGAGTGCCCCACCACATGCCAAATTCTGTGCTGGGCAATTGAATGAAGGACCCTGGACCTGAGCGACCTCCCAGCCATGATAGAGGCCAGGGCAGGGGCCCATCAGAGCCCGGCAGAGCTCACCAAGCAAACAACCGAAATAAGTCGTTCTCCCTTCAGAAACAGCTTCAGCCCTGGCTCAGAGCAACCTGGGGGAGGGCCAGGCAGATGAGCCTGGGCGTGGCTGATGGGGGCGTGGCCTCCCATCAGGGAAGTGACAGGCAGCTTGGAAGTGCCTCTTTCTGTCCCCACCATTAATGAGTGTCCTGAAGCCTCACCTTGCTTCTTTGTCCATCATCTTTGTTCGGTGACAATTGGGAAAGACCTGGAAGCCCCTCAATGCAGTAATAGCTCCTCTTCCCCCTCCTGCTGCTATTCAAAGCACTGGCCCCTGATGTCTTCCCCGCGAGGTTTTGATTAGGAGGAAGAAAAATAGTTAGGTATTTGAAAAACTCTCCCTTGAGTGATTTCTTTGAGGAGAAAAAAAATCATCCGTATCAAAGCAGACACTTTTCAGACTGCAGGTCCAAATATTCTGGAAAGTTCAGGAGTCACTTGCGATTTAAATCTCTTGAAAGCCACCTAGTTAATTACTTCAGTTAGAAGGTTTCATCTCATTTGTGCTCCATACCCAAGGTCGGGGAGGAAGAGTGATCTGTTTCGGCAAAGAACTTCAGAAAAATGTTGATTTTTCTCCTCCTGCAAAGCCTCGCACAGCAATCTTATATTTGTATACCACTTGTATTTCCCACACAATTTCTCCTCAAATGATAGCACTGCAGCAGCGTCGTGGTGTTTGCGTGAGGCTGGGACAGAGGAATGATGATTCTCCATGCTTTGCAGAGTCCCAGAGAGGGAAAGTGACTGGCACAAGGCCACACAAAGAGCTGAGAGCAGGATTCACTGAAGAATGCAAGGGTTCCAGCCTCTGGGTGTTCGGACCCTGGGACCACACAGGTGGTCCACAGATAGGCATCAGAGGGTCTGGCAAGCCTGTGAAATGTGCATGTGTGTGCTGTTCTAGAGCAGTAGTTCTTCAGTTTTAGCCTGCATCAGGATCACCTGGAGGGCTTATCAAACCCAGATTGCTGGGCCCCACCCCTGAAGTTACTGATTCAGTAGGTCCTGGGGTGGGGCCTGAGAAGACACATTTCTAACAGGTTCCCAGGTGATGCTGATGGTCCAGGAACTACACTTTAAAAACCACGGGTGTAGGGAAAAGGTCTCAGCTGTTCCTAGATTGTCAGTGGAGTCTGTGACCCAGAGGACCCGAGCAGCCCTGGTCTGGACACTGTCAGGGACCACCTGTCTTCTCCCTCCTCCCAGGATCTGAACTGATGCCCAAAGCCCTGTCCACACGCATCATTGGTGGCATCTGGTGGTTCTTCACGCTGATCATCATCTCCTCCTACACGGCCAACCTGGCTGCCTTTCTGACCGTGGAGCGCATGGAATCGCCCATCGACTCTGCCGATGACCTGGCCAAACAAACCAAAATTGAGTATGGGGCCGTCAAGGATGGGGCCACCATGACCTTCTTCAAGGTGAGACCCTCCCCCTCCCTTCACTGTCCTTCCCTCACCACACAGAGCCAATGAGCCAGAAGTCCCCAGGGCTCAGTCCCTCCCTGTTTGGAACCAGTTGACTTTGGGGTACTGTGGTGACGTGGTCATTTGGGTTGGTCCCAGCACAGATCCTAGAAGTTTCCGTACCTGAGAGCAAGCTGGAAGATGCTGTGTTTCCTTAAATCATCAGAAGAGGACAGGTGGAGAGAGGAGGCTGGAGAAGGGGGAAGGAGAGGTGTAGCCAGACTCACAAATAGGCCCTGTGGTCAGTGAGGTCCCTGCCCTGGGCTTGGCCTCAGTGGCCTCCATCTCCAACAGGCCAGCCTGGGCTTGTGGTGAGCTCTCCACCACTGAGAGGGCGGCAGGGGCGCATCCTCCAAGGAAGGGAGGAGGCTTAAAACTTGAACAGGCTTTTACAAACATTCCTCAGCACAGTGCACTCTTGGAATGCTGATGTCCAGATAAAGCCCCTGTCACCTGCTCAGATTACTCCTCTCAGGGGGATCTGGCCATGACTTTGCTGCACTTCTTGTTCTGTAAAACATTGGCTCAGAATCTTAATGTTTTTTTCTCCTAGAGTAGCTGAGGGTTTAGGAAACAGGCTGAGCCTGACCACCAGGAGCTGTAAATGTTCTTCCAGAAATTAAAGTGATAACAACAATAGCCACCGTCACCAAGAGCTCACAGTGGGCCAGGCACTGCACTCCATGCTTGGCCTCATTTAATCTTCATGACAAACCCTGGGAAGTAGGCGCTGCAATTACTTCTGCTTTGCACAGGTGGAAATTAAGGCTCAGAGCCGTTAAGCGGGCTGTCTGAGGACTCACAGCTGAAGGAGCTGGAGGCCGAACCAGGTCTGCCTTCCTCCAAAGCCCATGTTCTAGGCCACGGTTCTCAGACTTAAGTGTGCGTCCAGATCACCTGGAAGGCTTGGAAAACTCCAGGTTGGCGGCCCCACCCCTGAGGTTACTGATCCAGTAGGTCCTGGGGTGGGGCCTGAGTATGTGCGTCTCTAATCAGTTCCCAGGCGATGCTGATGCTGCTGGTCCAGGGACCACACTTTGAGGACCACTCCTCTTGATGAGGTCTCAGAAAAGGGCAGGACTTGGGAACCCTGTGGCTGTGGGTTTATTCATTCATGTATTTGTTTAGTAGTCAATTGCTCTCAATCAATCCAGAAACCTGGGGTGTCTTCCTTTCCTCTAGGCCCTGGATCCCCATCCCCCAGCCCTTGCTGCCTTCCAGCTTAAGCCTGTGAGTGATGTGTTGAGCCTCCAATGGGAACCTGAGTGAGGAGAGGAGGAAGGGGTGGGGTGGGAAAGCCTTCCATCTCCGGGGCTTGGAGCCCCAGCAGCTCTCCCCAACCCTGGCCTCCCCTGTGCCCCTTCTTGAGGGTAGAAGCAGCTGCCTCGTGAAGAGGAAAGACAGTGGAAAAGGGCTCCCCACTTGGATGCTGAGAAGCAGGAAATGCAGCCTTCCTACGAGGTCACCACCATGTATTGAGAGTTGGGGGAAGATACAGCATTGTCGTAGACATGCAAGGGCCTCCCTGGGACCCCGTGTATGTGTTCCTGGGTGTTAGCAAGTGTGTATGTGAATGCTGCACATGCGTGTGTAGCAGTATATGATGTGTCAATGCATGTTCGTGTATGGATGTATGCACACATGTGCCCGTGCACAAGAGTAGGCCTGTCTGGATGCTTGTGTGTCTTTATGCTTGGGCATATATATATGTGTGTATGTACTGGCAAGCATAAGTGCGCATGCATCTCTGTGATCTGGGCACGTGGATATGTGCCTATGATTGTATACAAGTATTGCCAGGGTGTCTACAGGTATCTGTGTGTGGAGAGTGCACTCCTGTCTATCTGCTTAAATGTCGCCATGGGCTTGCCTAGATAAGTGTGAGTGGGGGGATAGGCCTGTGTGTGTGTGTGTGTGTGTGTGCGGGTGTGTGCACGCGCACAAGCGCCTGCTCCTGCCTATCCCCAGGCTGCAACCCAGCCCTTTGACTGTGCCAGAGCATCCCTCATGCATTACACATGAGCCCGTCTCTAAGCAGGGCTCCCGATCAAAGGGAAGCGGCATAAATAAGCCCAGTGCAGGCTCATTGCCGCTGATTGGATGCCCTTGCCTCCCTCCATGCTAAGATGCTCAGATTGGCTTCCAAGAGCCCAGGCCCTGCTCCCCACCGAGCTGCTGTCCTCAGCATCAAGCAGCGCCTCCCGCAGCCTGCTCCACCCTCAGCCACCTTCCCTGCAAATGGTGCAGTGAGGCGGGCAGGGGAGGGACAGACGCTGCTGCCCAGCAGGGATGCTGGGGCTAAGGGGCCCAGTCTCACAAGGACCTTCAGCCAGAAACAGCAACGCCGCATCCCCCTGCAGAACCAGCCCCTCTTCCTTGCTCTCCTGATCGCCAATGAATTCCTCTTGCTGTCTGGCCACCTTTTCTCCTGATTTAATTCAAATGAAATGCTTCTTGCCCAGGCTCCCTCCCGGCAGCAGCAGGACTGTTATGTGGGCAGAGGGGAACCTGTGTGTGGATACATCAACCCCACTTCAGATGATGAGCTAGAAACGTGACCCTCCCAGAAGGTCCCTGGACAAACTCACTTCCTCCCTGCCCCACCACCCCCCAGCCCTTCAGAGTCAGCCCTCGCTCCCCAAACACCCCCCTGCCCCTGCACCAGGCCAGGTGGTAGCCTCCTTATGGTCACTTTCAAGTTAGAGCTGGAAGGAAATCTGAGTTTCACCTAGAGAAACAGGCCCAGAGGGGCTGGGTGATTTGCCCGTGATCAAACAGTAGAGCCAAGATGCAAGGCCACATACTCTGTCTGCACACACAATGCCCTCTCCCACAGCCTCTCCAGAGTCTTATTCTGGAGGTTGGTCCCCTCCCCTGCCTGTGAGTGTATACAGCAGGGCTGGCACTAGGGTTGAACAGGAATCAGCTCCAGAAGCAGCCATGAGATGTCCAGGAGACACTGGCAGAGTCGACAATAATAGTAGCGTTTACCGAGCACTTACTGTGTGCCAGGCAGTGTTCCCGGCGCTTTATCTGTGTTCAAACCCATCATCCTCCTAACACCTAGAAGGTGGAGGCTGTTATTATCCCCTCCATTTAACACAGGGTGAAAGCAAGGCTCAGAAAGTAACCTGAGTTAATACTTCTTGCCTGACATCACACAGCTAGTGAAATGCAGGGCTGGGATTTGAACCCAAGTCGTCTGGCTCTAATGCCTGTGCTCTTTGGCCCTCTGTCCACATCGTTTCTCCAAGGAGCCTGCCGCCATCCAGGAGTTCCTTGGGGCAGAGTGAAGCCACAGTCTGTTGAGCCACATCCCCAGCCTAGAACAGTTGTAGCGCATCGTAGTTGCTCAAATGATACACGTTGAGTGGATGCAGTTGTTGAATTAACAGATGGAATTAAAAGACAGCAGGAGCTGAGCAGAGCAAGTGCAGGAGACCATGTTGAGGACAGGAGCCCAGCAGGCAGCATCCCTGAATGTCCGGAGCATGGGGCAGATGAAGTTCATTTCTGCAGTTACTGCATTTCCTGGTTAAGCTGCGAACCATCTTAAAAAGGAAAGTAGCATTGGCGGGAGAGAGCCCACTCTTGCCCAAAGATGACAACAGGAAGTGGGATGCTGGTCTCTGAGGGGCTCCAGATCCCTTGCCCAGCCTCCCCCTACCCCCCACAGCCCGGGAGACGCGTGGCTAGAGGCAGCCCATCATTCCAAAGGAAATTTCATTTGAAGAGTTGTCAGGGAGCAGGAAACATCACAAACAGTGTCTCCTATGTTGTCCTCCCTCCGTCTTGGAAGATAAAAATTAATTAGGAGATGAAAAAGGAGGTCTTTGAAAGCACTGTTTGGCTGTAAAAACATGTAGGCAAAATGTAAAGGAGGACGTTGGGAAAGCGTGTTCTTGGTGGGGAGGGCTGGGCAGCTTTGAAGGGAAAGGATGTCAGAGACAGCTTCTCCAAGGATTTAGCCCTCTTTGGTGTTGCGATGGGAGAGGCGCATCACACGTGGGAGGGACTGTGTGTTAGTGACAGCCGCTTAGGAAAGAGGTAGGTGCTGAGGGCCAAGAATTCTAGGCTCCCAGAGTCCCTGGCAGCTTCAGGCCCTCCCCCTTGCACAGCTTTGCCCCATCCTAGCAACTGAGCCTGGAAGATCCTGGAGAGGCCATCCAGTCCACCTCAGAAGACTTCCCTGAGCTAGAAGGCTCAGGAGGGTGCTCCCCGCCCTCAGCTTCCAGTTTCTCCTATCCTGTCTGCTGGCCTCTCTGATAGAGCCTTAGCCCTGCCTCCAAGCAGAAGCAGGATGGGAGCATGGAAATGCAGGGACCGGGCAGAATTCAGCGCAGTACAGCCTAGTGCAGTCAAGTTCCATCAGTCAGACAGACCAGGACTTGAGTCGTGGGTGTTGTCTGCGCTAGGTGACCTTGGGCAAGTCAGTGCACTTCTCTGAGCCTCAGTTTGCTCCCCTGTGTGCCATGGGTGCTGATGCCCACCACACGGCAATTAGCGAGGAGATGCAGTGGGTTACTGTGTATGTGGTTAGGCCAGTGCCAGACACACCAAGCACTTAAGGCAAAGGCTTTCTGCTCTGGATGTCCATCCAGGTGGCTGACACACAGGATGGGCAAGCCAGCTGGCCCCTTTTGTTCTTTTGCCCCATAGTCCCCTCCTAAGGCAAAGGATTTCCCTGGAGCCCCATGGAGAAGCCCCAACCTAGAGAATCTCCCTCCTTCCAGGCCCCTCCAGATTTGGCCTGGGGGCTTTGGGGAGGACACTGGTGCCTCTGTCACAGGATGGCCGTCTACCTCTGCATAAACTAAGCACCTCAGGAGGAGCTCAGAGGTCCTCAGAATAGAAGATACCCAGAGCGGGCAGGCAGAGGAGCAGTAACAGGTGCAGGGGAGGCCCAGGAATGATGGGAAGTTACTGAAAACTCTGCAGTTACTGACAACCTCTCT